CCGGGAGCAGGAGGGGGAGGCGAGTCACGGCTGGCAAAAATTGAATGAAAAATGTATATTACAGAATTGTGTTTCTCTTCTGTGTTTAAACTGCCTCAAGAAAGCCACGCGCTTTTCTGCAGCTGGTGCCTCTGCTGATGCACGGAAAAAATAGCAGGGAGAAGATTAAAATTGAACTGGCTTGGAGTCTGTGTAATCAGGGAAAATATCTCGGTGATTTGCTATTATAATTTTCAATAACAAACTGCAGGGCTCCTGCCGCACTAATAATAACAGCTTGAATGAGGTGGGGAAAGAACCTGCCGTGGGGTGTTTGTGTGTGTGTTTGTGGGAAGCACTCACAATTTTCCCCATCTCCTAATTTTGAAGAGGTATTTTTAGTGCATATTTCAAAGAGCTTTACGTAAACACATCTGCTGGAGTTTTTGCTTGGCAGTGTCTTTACAACCTTCTTTTCTGCCCCCTCCCTCCCCCAAGACACAGGAACAGTTCGACCATCTCTTTTTCAATCGGATGAGCAAAGCTACAGAGCAGGAGAGAAAATAAAAGTGTCGTTTTGCCAGTGCCAAAAGGCTTCTCAGCCCAAAGTTGTGGATTTTAGAAGCATGAGCAGCTCAGCCCATCCTTGCCAGGGCCAAGACCCCAGGGTAGAGGTGCATTGGAGGCGGCTGTGGTAGAGAGATGAGGGGATGAGACACACAGGGGGACCCCAACCTGTCATCTGTGCGCTCCTGCACTGCCAATACCTCCAGATGAGGAAAGAAGAGGAAAAATGAGACATTTAATCAAATGTCCATGCACTTAATGCATGTTACTCGGGAGAAAGAGTGAGAGTATCCCTGGTGTGAGTGGCTGCAGGCACAGGAGTTTCTCCTGCTTCCCCTTGGGACACTGTGCCTGCCACGGGCACCTGTGTCCTTTCACGGGCTGATGTTCCCCGTCCCCAGGTGAGGCATCCATCATGGGTTTAATACCATTGAAACATTCAGAACTAATAGGCTCATCAGAGATGCTTTAACCTTTTTCGATTTTGGGGCTCCAGTTGGCTGGAGCCGCTCCTCCCTTTTCACCAGGGGCTGTAGAGATGATGGGAATGCGGAGCCAGCCAGGGCTGAAAAGGGCAAGGTAATAAAGTTTCTGTATTGGTTTTCCAAATACTCTGTCCTGAGCTTGGAAGTGCTGTTGGTGCAGGTCTGCCAGGAGCAGTCAGGGCTTGGGGTCTCCAACGTGCTCATGCGTGTGGCCAAGTGCCCTGCAGCACCACTCCCCGCCTCGGGCTGTGCATCCGGCACCCAACCCAACTGCGTGTGGAAAGTAAACTTAAATGACAAAAATAAAAGGCTTGGTTAGCACGATCCAGCCCCAGCCTGCTTACGCTGCTGCTTGCAAAGCAGCTGGGGAGGGCAGAGAACCTGTGGCCGGGCTATGGAGGGAGACCATCCCGCAGAGGCAAGGGATGAAGCTGCTGAGGTCGGAGATGGCCTCATGGCAGGGTCCGGCAGCTGAAAGGTCACTAGGAAGGCAGTTTTCCTACTCTCCTCTCCTCTGGATTGAAGAGGAGCTGAGTTACCGCAGGGGGAGAAGGATGATTGATGAAAGCTTTGTGGCAGGAGAGCGCTGTGGGGCTGGGGCGGAGGAGCTCGGCTGGAACGTGGGAGCCTGCGGGCAGGGGAGGGCAGCTGGCTGGCCCCGGCAGTGCTGAGACGCCAGCACGCAAGGATTTCAAGTGCACACCAAACCCACACCGACTGCACGTCACCGCGGGACCAGGGGGGACGGGTGTCGCTGGGCTCAGCTCCCGGTGAAGCGTCTCAGCGAGTGCCACGTTTCACGGCCTGATGAGATGGCACTGGGCCATGGCACCGAGCGCGGCGGCTCGGGATGGAGGAACGGGGATGGTTTGTGAGGTAGCTCTGCTCCCTGAGGTTCCCCTCAAGCTGGAGGGGAACAGATTTAGACTGGAGATTAGGAGAGGGTTCTTCACTGTGAGGGTGGTGGAGCACTGGAACAGGTTGCCCAGGGAGGTGGTTGAGGCCCCTTCCCTGGAGATATTCAAGGAGAGGCTCGACGAGGCCCTGGGCAACCTGGTCTAGTTGGGGGTGTCCCTGCTGACTGCGGGGAGGTCAGACTAGATGACCTTTGGAGGTCCCTTCCGGCCTGGGCAATTCTATGATTCTATGATTCTAAATACCCGGTGCCTTTGTCCTCTGAGAAGGGTGCCAGGATCCATCCACAGGCAGGAAGGGCACTGCAATCCCATGGGGGTGAACAGGGGGGGAATTTTTCCCCACAGCCGGGCTGTTCAAGCCCCCAGGACTCACCTGTGGGGCTCACCCCATGTCTCTGGAGGCCACAGCATGTCTTTAACAACTCCATGAGGGGTCTTTGCTGAGCCCAGCACACCTCTCAGGTCTTGTAAATGCCCTGTGGGACCTCCCTGGTCTTGCATTTTCCTCGGCTTCTGCAGAGAAGTGGTCTTAACCTGCCACCCATGAGCACAGCCACCTTGGGTTCCAGTATGACACCTGGTGCAAGAGCCTCCCAAGCCCATCAGTGACTCCCTGCCCTTCCAGCTGCATCACCCTGACCATCTTCACTGCCCTCCCAGGGCTGGCTCCAGTGAAGCCCCCGCAGAGGCTTTCTCCTTTCTGCTGCAGGTGTGATAATCCTCTTCTTTGAGGCCACAGCAATCGTTCACGCCAAACTGCGAGCGCTTTTATATCAGTCACGAAAGACAAGGAAGACAACAAATAAAAAATATGTCTTTATATATACATTCAATCAATGCCCATGGAGTTTAACGCAAGGGGATTACCAGCCAGTTTAGAGTGTTAGTGACTCTCAGCATTCATCAGAGGAGAACATTGAGTTGAATTGAAGCCAGCCTTTGATGGGATTGGAGAATAATTATTTCCATCAATAATTACTTCCAAGCCCAGAAGAAATGGCTCCTAGCGTGTTGCAGGGCAGGAGTCCTTGGTTGCCCCAAGGCCAATATGTTGTAACCGCAGGACCTGAAAATCCCATTAGTGGGAGTAGGGGCCGGGGCAAGAGGGACATTGCCCACTGTGCCCAGGTCCCTCCTGCGAGGCAGTGACATCTCATCACGCTCCAGCCCGGGAAGGAACCCTCCCATCCCCGCTGCTGGAGCCGATCCAGCCCAGACTTTGCACAGGTCATTAATTTGGGGACATTTTTAATGGATCCTAATGATTGAGCCTCAGAAGGCTGCTCTTAAAAGGGGTTTGGGAAAGCTAATTAGCTTGTACAAAGAAAGCAATTAACCATGTAGCTTCCCGGATGGTTAAAAATAACATAGATGTTGGGAAGAGACTTGGGGATTTTATTACAAGCAGAGTAATAAATTTTTAAAGCCAGAGGGACCATCACCTCCTGCATGTCTTGGGCCAGAAATATTTCAGCCAGCTTCCCTCCACTGGGCCCTGTCGCTTGTACTTGGCTGATGCATGTCCTTAAATGTTCAGGTACTACAAACTGGGCCCAAGGAAGGAGTCAGCTAGTAGAGAAAGTGGGAGTTTCTTGAGACAGAAAACACAGGTGGAAAGAAAGGGATGACCCTTCTTCTCCAGGTGCTCCTGTGTCAACTCCAGCCCCGAAAAGTGTTGCTCATGGCTGGGGCAGGTCGCAGGATGTTCCCTGGTGTGTAACGGTCTCTTGCAGCCAACTCACCCTCCTGGCATCCCTGAGCCACTGTAGCTGTGGGGCTGGCAGGGGACATCCCAGCCTCCCCCTGCTCCAGGGACTTCATGTGGCCTGGAGCTTTGGTGTGCAAAGGGACAAGGTGCGTGGGGTGGCAGATGCAGCAGTGGGACCTTGCAGAGCTGACCTGGGGACAGCTAAACCCCAAAGCCGCACCCGCAACCCATTCCTGAGATTGGCTTCAAAATGATAATGGAAAGAAATGGAGACACTTTCTCTGCCAGCTGAGCCCTGCCCACCATCAGTACCACCCCACAGCCAGGTCAGGCTTGGACATGTCAAATCTTGCTTTATTTATTCAAATAATCCTCTGGATGACACTAAACCCATAGCATTCTTGGTGCCCCTGCTGGGTATGGTTTACGGCTTTCTATTAATCTTTCTGGTCTTTGAAGTAAAACTCTGTGGGACCTGAAAACCTATTTACTTTCCTCCCAAGTGTCCGAGCTCAGGTTTTTTTTTCTCCGTTTGCTTTCTTTTCTCCATTTGAGTTTGCCTTACCCAAGCCCTGGTGTTTCTTGGACACCTCTCACCTCAGGCTTTCCCTGCCCTGGCTGTGCTCCTCACCAACTCCCATGGTCTCACCAGGGCTCTGGCAGCCACCTGCCTGGCCCAGGTGGTTCCTCTTAGCTCTGCTGGGCTCTCCCAGGTTCTCCAGTTTGGGCTTTCATCAGGACCAGGTGTGTCTACTGGCCCAGCACCCTATTTGTAGGAGTGGGGAGGAGGGCTGTCCTCTGCCTGCTAATGTTTTGCTTCTACCTGGGTGCTGGTGAGGGGAACAGGTTAAGGATGTATGGCGTGGTACTGGCAATACAATAGTAGGTTTGGGAAATGGCATTTGAAATGCAAAAGTGTTTTTTCTACCAGAGTGGGAGACTAGTGTTCTCTGAGCTGGTGAGCTTAAAACCCACAGGGCAGAGGGAGGTGTCTAGGGGTGCTGCTCTGATTAGCTACCATTGCATCAGGCCCAAATGCTGTGCTGTTCCTGCAGTGTGGGCCCATCTGGCTGCTCTTCAGCTGCACGATGTTTGTGGCATCTCTGTCTGAAAGCCAAGCACAGCATGTCCACCCTGGGGAGCAGCTTGGCTTGGAAATGGGGGCTTTCTGGAGCATTTCCCACTGCATGGGGCTGAGCGCTATGGGCCCAGGAGCACCCCACAGCTCTTCACAGCAGCACAGGTCCAACCTGTGGAAAGGAAAGGGGATTCTCCTGTACATGGGAAGACTTCAGCAAATGAGCCCAGCTCTTTATTGATCACTCTCCCCCATTGCTCCCACAGTGGGACGCTCAGCTGCCTTCCGTACCCTGCAGAGGACAGATGTCCCGAAAAGCTGAGTGGCCGCGCAGGGAAAGAAGCCTCCACCACCAACGGCTGTGCCAAAGGGAAGGAGAGACGAGACCATGCTCACCACAGTTCACGCAGGTAGGAGCCAGGGCAGTGAGCAGGGTCGCCCTGAAGCAGGGGGATGGCAGAGGGGGTCTGTGAGAGCTGGGGAGGGGTTACGTGACTCTGCGAGTGCAAATTTATGCAATTGCATGAATCCCTGTGTGTGTTTACACCTATAGTTCACTTCTACTCCATGCCTTGGTCTTAAACCCTCCTTGCAAGTAATCCTGGCTGGAAGACCGGCAACCTGCCAGCATCCCTGCTTGCCACCAGGTCCACAGGGTACCCCTGGCTGGGCATCGCTCTCAGCAATTCCCCTCTCCCCATGCCTAGATCAGACCAGCAGTGTCAGCTTCATTATCAGTTCATCATTAGCCCCTGACAACTTGAGAGGGGAAAAACAAATTGAACATTGTAAATGAAGCAACCAAGGTCTCTGAGCCCTGCCTGCTTAACTGTCTCTGGGATTAAAGCCTCTCTGTTTGGTTAAAGACGCTAGAAAGAAAGAGCAAGAAAGCACATTTCATATCTTCAGATTTCAGGCCAACCGGAACAATAATCTAAAGCATATTTTTAATTAGACTTTGATAACAATCGCAGAGAAACAATTAAAATCAGATCAGCACAGAGAGAAAGCTTCCACATCAAAGACAAAAGGCTTTATCTTGCGTGAGGGAGAAGTGCTCTACAGAAACAGCCTGTGGCTGCACGGCATGGTCAGAGGCTTCTCCCCCTCTCCCTCAGCTGTGGTGGTGCCTGGTTGTGGCACCCAGACCTGTGGGTGTCTGTTTTCTGGGGGGGCCCAGAAAAAATGTTTCCAGCGGGGTCCAAATCTGTGCGAGGAGAAAGCACCTGGGAGCTGGGGTCCAGCATCCTGATAACTGAGGAGCTGAGATGGGTGTTGAGCTCCTTTGGGTGCTTCTGCAGGTAGGTGGAATCCTTGAGAGGAGAAGGAGAGTGAGAAGGAGTATTTGGGTGCTCCTCGGGGCCACAGTGTGGTTGCACCTCGGATTTACTGCACCAGAAGCACTCAGTTATTCACAGCTCACAACCAGAGCACTAGCGTACAGTTTTGTTTTGCAGAGCAATTTAAAAAGAAAGTATACTGAAAGCACTAAGCAATTGGCTTTTTATGACAGTGTAATTTTGGTAGTAATTCACGCCCTGGGTAAGCAACCGTCAGGGGGCTGAGTGTCCCCTTCCAAAGTGGCATTTGCTCTGCATTAGGACCTTCATTAACAATAACATTTGTTCTTTCTGCAGAAAACTGCTCCATTTTTGGCCTGTTTCTGCAGTGAAGATCCCACAGCATTTTCCAAACATGGGGCTGCCTCCACACAGTCCCTGCTATGGGCTGCTCCAGCTGGCAGGGCCAGAAGTGGGGAAACTGAGGCACAATCCAACAGTGATTTTTTTTTTTTTTTTTTTTTTTTTTTTTTTTTTTTTTTTTTTTTTTTTTTTTTTTTTTTTCAGAGGCCCTGGGGATATGGCTGTGCCCCCCATGAGCCTTGGTCCCAGATCCTTTTGGGGGATCCACAGACAGATCTGGGGATCTGCAGGTTGATTTGGGGATCAACCTGGGGATCCACAGGCCGCCACCAGCTGCCCCCATCTTTATGGTTAATGGGTAGCCACGGAGTATCTGCCATATTTTCAGCCCAGTGCTCTGAATTAATTTAACCACAGTATTTGCTTTTCATTGAAACATAACATGATTTGGCATCATATATTTAAAAAAGAAATTAATTTACAAGAGTTTTTTCTTCCAGGGTTTAACAACTGTGTAAGAGATGCATATCTCATTAAATTACCATAACATCTCAATAAATGTATATATTTCTAATCAATTGCTATTTAACATATGTCAAGTCTTTTATTATAGTTAGATGCATCTGTTTGCAATAATTATTGTATGCAAATTAAATGCCAATTAATTATTTAAAGCATATTTACAAAGAGCAACAAAACCTATAAATCTGTTACGGAGTTGTTAACCTCAGCAAACACGTTTTAAATAATCAGCTGGCATCACCATGGCGTACAGTAGCTGTCTCATTATATCTCCATTAAACCCATGGAGGAGATACTTCATTTAAACTGTGACCAAATTATTCGTTAGAGGGTAATTAGGCGCTCGCCTGCACCCTGGGTCTACCACGAAAACTGATCTCTCTGCCCTGGACATCCCTGAGGTGGGGATGGCAGCAAATGGGGGAGAGCAGCCCCATGTGAGCAGATTTAGACATATTGATATTATTTTAATTATTTGATGGTTGTTTTCTCCACTCTTTAGCCCCTCATGTGATGAGGAACGTACGCCACCGCCGCCGTCCCGGGGGAAGAAGAAGAAGAAGAAATCCAGCCGCAAGAAGCGAAGGAGGTGAGGGTGGTCGTGGCGGTGGGGACAGGCGGTCAGGCAGGAGGGGACAGGCTGCTCTCACCTGTGTAAGAGGAGGGAAAAAATAGTGTAAAATAGAAGCTGGGTACCCTTTGGGGAGGTGCTGGGGGTTTCCACAGGCCCAGCCACCTGCGAAGGCACCTGGGTGGAGGTGCCGCCATTTTCTCACCCTCCCCTCAGGGAAGCAGAGGCCGAACCAGGGCTCACCCACAGCCCATCCTGGGCACTCCCTGCCCCTCTCCCCCCTGGGGAGATGCCTTTGGAGATGGGGTAAGGGTTGGGGTGGTTGGGGAGGGCTGTGGGGAGCCCTGTGGTCGCTAATGCCACCCCTGCCTCCTCAGGTCTCCCTCCTACAGCCCCTCGCCTGTGAAGAAGAAGAAGAAGAAAAGCTCCAAGAAGCGAAAAAGAAACAGGTATTTTTTTTTTCCTCTTGAAAACATAGTTCCCTGCTGTTGAGGGGGGGACAGCTTGGACAAGGGGTGGAAGACATTACTGCTGTGGGGCAGCTGGTGGAGCCCAGCGCCAGGAGGCAGAAAGAGGCGTCAAACTCCTGACTCTTCATCATGGCTGCCCAGAGGGCAGGGCCCCATGGGGAGCTGGAAGCCAGACAGCCGAGGAGGGCAAGAAATGGAGTGCAGACCCAGTGCAAACAGATAAATATGAGCTGTCAGGGTTGTGGGGGAAGAAGCAGATGAGCTAAATCAGCTCGAGGTCTGCTGAGCCTCTGCCCACTGCCCTTGCTGTCCTGTTTCACATGGCTTCCATCCTCTGGGTCACCAATGGGATCAGCACTCAGGGCTTGCACCATGCCCTTTCCATTCTCCCCCAGCCCAAAAGAAGTGTCAGTGTTTAGACCAGCAAAAGGCTCAAATCAGCTCCCCTCATTCACATCTCAGGCTTCCCTCCCAGCCCCAGGTGATTGCCTCTATGTTCCCCTTCTGAAGCCCATTTTTAATTTAAAGAGCACCATTAAATTTTAAAATTGCAAATATTTCATTGGTTTCTCTCAATCGTTAAACCAATATTTGAAGAGAACAGTGGATGCTATCTCCCTCGGAAAGTTCATGTATTTACAGTATATTGAACCAAAGAGAGAAGCTATGGAAAATGGATAACAGGGTGAAAAGTTAAGCTTGAATCTTAAAGAAGAGGGAGGGTGAGAGCAGGGAAAGACAAAGATATAGAAACTCATTTAAAATACTTTCTTCCCAAGGAGGGATTCTTGTGCTCTTTTATGGATGTCGTCTCCTGACAGCAGTCCTGGGTGAGATGCTCATTGGCTTTGAACCTTTAGTACCCTGGTGGCTCCTGTGTCATCCCAGGGATGCTCCAGGAGGCAAGAAAGAGGCATGACACTGGTTTGTTTGAGGCTGCTCTGGAGTTATACAGAAAGGACTCTTTCTTTCACTGCTACTTGGTCCTTCATACTGAAAACCAGGAACTGGACTCGCCTCTGCGAGTGATGAAGCACTCAAATGAAGCACAGTGCAAAAATGTGGAGGCAGCAGCAGAGAAAAGGGACTCACCAGGGACAGGGGAGATATATATAGATGTCTATAGACTTGTTATCCTGAGGATCATATTCTCAACTATTTGTAGAGTGTGCTGCTCACTTCTACCACACCAGCATTTCTCAGCTACCCCCTTGCCAGTGCTAAAGGAGAGCCAGGGCCATTCTACCCAGCTGGTAGATGAGATCTCCTCACAGTGCTCAGTCTAATGCTGGGTCTAACCATGTTGTCTCTGATGCAAATTTCCAATTTTGTGAGACCCTGCATTCAATGTACATATTTGTGTCTTGCAGGTTATCTTCAAAGAAGAGAAGACACAGGTAAGAGTTGAGCAAGTGTGGGTGATTCCTTAGAAATATGAGTTTCATGGTCTCTTCAGGATCTTGCAAGGTTGATGTCCACTGGGTGGAGGCACAAGACACTTTTCTTCCATGTCTCCTTGTGCAATCCCCCTGGTTCCCTCCACCCCCTGTGCGTGTGGTCCCTCTCTCTATTCAGCCTTAAGTGTTCCTCAGACCCCATGGGAATCAGTTCCCCAGCCCAACCTGTGCAATCAAGCACATAACTGGAAAAGGCCTCTTGGTATAACCCAGCCCCTGGCAGCCACATCCATCCTGCTCCTTGGGTCTTCATTTCTCTTATGGTTTCATTTGCAAACAGTATGGCATCCCCCAGTACGGCCCATCTTTGCAACATTCAGAGTTGGTGGCTTTCCAGCTGTGTACTGGAAGAACACTCCTGATTCTAGCATGTCTGTGTACAATATCAAGAAGTATTCCTCTCCTCTACGGGAAAATGCAAAGCCACCAGGATGGCTGATCACTTTAAGGATCTTTTTGGCCAAGTGCATGAGCTGGATTTGTCGGCAGGCACTCATACCCCCTGTGCTGAGGAAGAAACATTAATCCCTTTCATTTTTATTGCACGCTCTTGGGCAATCTAGCTGTAACATTGATGTGTGAATGTGCAGCTTTTTATCAGAACAGAAATCTCCGAATTAATTAGCCATTTCTTATTTAGTTCTTCAAGCCCCAAAAGTAAGAGAAAGGAAGAAAGAAAACACAAAAAACAGTAAGTAGTGATTCATGGTGTTCCCTGCTCTGCCTGCAGAGAGCTGCGGGGCTAGGAAGTGCTTGGTGTGGTGGGTCCCCTGGAGCTAATGCTGGCTCTGCAGCCCTAAGCAATTCTCAGGATTATTTTGCAGCAAAAACCCAGCAATTCTGGTTTTGCTGAAATGGGAAAGGGTTTATAGAGACTGGAGATATTTCCTTTCCCTCTCTTTCGTGCCACCTCATTTGGTACATTTTTTTGTATCTCTCAGGGATGTACAGTATCTTGTTCATTTAGTCCTGAGCAGAGGCTCCAGCTTTTCTGATGAGGGCAACATGAGGGGATGAACTCGAATCCAAGGAACACAGGGCCCCACCGCCTCCATTGCCCAAAGAGCAGGCTGGAGCCCTCTTACTGAGAAGGGCTTTAGTTCCTCCTTGTTTACTGCTCTTGGAGGTTACAGTAGGTGTGCTCATGATATACAATCCAACCAAATATCTGAAAGGGAGCAGAAGGCAATGGATACTGGGGAAGAGAAGGGACTGTTTGCAGGTGACAGACGAGGTTGCAAAAATCTGGGGTTGAGGTTCCCATCTGCCCTGGAGTGTTAGCAGAGCACAACTCTTGTCCTATGGGGCAGGTAATCAAGGGGTATGGTATAAAATGTGGTTCTTCAGGGCTGGAAGGAAGACCTGAAGCCTTCTCTGCTTTTCACTTCCTTCTCTGTCTTCTGGGAATAGAAACTTGTGGCTTCTTACCTGCTTTTAAAGCAAGGAAACTGTTTTGGGGCTGAACCCTGGACACCAAACCCCTGGTTGGCTCTGCGGGGACTTGGGATACCTTTCCAGAGACAGAAATGGAGTTAGCAGGTGGAAACTTGCTGATTTGTTTGGTATTAGTAGGACCTGCCCTATAATTATTCCCAACACAACTTTTTAGTCCTTAGGCAGAAAGAAGACAGAGAGACAATAACCCCTGACACTGCCAGTATCACCCCAGTATGTATTGGGACTGAGGAAACTGGGAAACCATGAGGTGCAGAGCATGTTATGCCATCTGCATAGGCCATCTTTATTGCATGTAGAAAGCCCATCTCTCTTTCTCTACAATTTCTGCATGTTCAGTAGCATAGAAACCTTTTTTCCTCAAACTGGGTGGCTATGCACTCGGAAACCTAAGTGGTAAAACTGAGGCTTTCTAAAATCAGGCATCTCCTCAACCCAACGTAGCACCAGCCAGTATGCAGTAGCCCAACAGTGTGGTTAAGACAAGGATCAGATGCCCTGTTGGTACGTGCTAACGTGGGGGGACAAGAGCTGCTAGAATTGCTCTTTGGGGATAAACCAGCCAAGGCGTTTTAGCCCTCATCTCACAAATCACAGCTGAGCCACTCCCAATTTCTGCAAACCTTCTTATTGCTCCCGGGCGTGGATCAGATAGATCCCATGAGCCATCTGCGCTCGGGATTTTTGTATAATCACGCTGCTTTGGCTTATCTTTGTGTTGAGCAACCGGTTATCTAAATTACACAGGACTAGTTTTTCCTCCTGCAGAAAGGGAAAACCCTTAAACGGGAGGCACTGATGTGGAGGGTGAGGAGCAAACATGGAGGTTTCCACACAAATCCACCATGTGAGGGAGAGATGTTCAGTGTGGCTGATTTCAGTTGTAGGAAAATATGAAAGGAGAATCCTAGAATGTGAAGTTTTTATAAATATAATGATAGGGTGTGAGAAGCATCAGAGAAAATGGCCAGGTGGAGTTCAAGCCATTGCCCTGGAAGCTGCCCTTTTGTCTTAGAGGAGATGCTTTTCTCAAGCAATCGGTCTGCTGAGTTTTTATAGTAGCAAATTGCTAAATGCTGCCCGAGCAGGTTGTGTTAGTGCTGCCAGTGACTGGTGGAGCATGGCCATGAAACCAGGCTGTTCCCAGCAGCTAACCCATCGTTAGCCTTGCCTGTTGGCACAGCAATGCCAGCCTGAGCAGATGGTTACGCTGCCAGATCTAAAAAAACTGCTGTGGTGGGCAATGGCATGAGGGGATGGGCACAGGGGGTGACAGGTAGCTGCCGTCCACATCACCCTGCTGTCTGCATGCAGGACTTCAGCTGTTGGCACAGACCACAACAGCCCTGCAGTAACAGGGCTGGGTAATCCCTCAGAAATAGTTTGGCTGGAGCACAGGGAGGCGCAGCAGTGACTGGACACCTGTAAGAAGCCAAGTAAAATGGTCCTGCCCCTCACGCAGGAGCCATGCACAGGCTGCAGTTAGGAAGGCTGCACTTTACCTTTATACAGCAGCCATAAGAGCTGCCCATAGGACTGGCTAGAACCTCCTGCCTAGAGAGCGTGGGGAAGGCTGTTACTGACTGTACTGTATTTGGAGCCTGTCCTTCTGCATCTGCTCGTTAACAAGGAGGATTGGAGTCAGAAATGGGAGCTTTGCGATAGGTTGCCCAGAGGGATGGTGCTCCCCCAACAAGGCTTAGCAATGGGAAGGGCCCTGGGCTGTTTCCTGGCTGTCTTAGGGTAGGCTGCAGGACGAAGGGGCAAGCACACAGCTCTCTCAGGTCTTGAGAGCAGAAAGATTTAGTGCTGTCTGCTGCACTCTTGCGTGCTGGTCCATAGATCTTTCCCCAGCGGGCTACAGAGCCAACCTAATAGCTTGTAGTCAAAACGCTAGCATAGATCTTGGTAAGATGGCTTGCCTTAATGTCCATGTAATGATGAAGGGATGGAGAATTTCCTCATGCCCTGATGTCCTGCACAATGGTTCATACCCTGCTCGCTTTGGTTTAAAACACAGATATTTTTTTTTTTTATTTGAATGTTATTGACTTCAGCCTCCAGCTGTGGGCTCTTGCATTACCCCCAGCCTGTTATCTAATGGTGGCTCTCCTCTCTGCTTCTTAAAGCTCCCGTGGGCGCACCCGGAAATCTCATCGCCATCGTCACCGCCACTGCCACTCTCGCTCAGAGAGCTCGGACTCCCACTCTACCCGCTGCCGAAGCAGGTAACATCACCTGGGTGTCCTGGTGGGCTCAAGGATGTGATTGCAATAGCTTGTGTGACCCACAAACTCTCTGCAGAACCATGTCTCATTCTGGTAGCAGCCATGTCACATAGCTTGAGGTTGAGCTTCTTGCGGTCTCTGCCACAGAAAAGTTTTGGCTCGAGGAGCAGCGGCTGCAGCTTTTCGGTCCAGCAGTCACTTCTAATCCTCATGGCTGATGATCAGCCCATGACAGCTGATTCCAGCCTCGTTTCCTTTCCCCAGCCCAAGGGCTCTGTACTGCTGATGTCCCAGGAAACCCTTAGACTTGGTCTTAGCAATGAAAATATATTCGCTCGCAGCATTCTAGAGCCACTATCTTTGACCTGATTAAAATCTCAGTCCTGTGGATGACAGATGTGTCCTGGGGCCAGCTAAGTGGATGCTGGTGCTAGACTCGGCATCACTGCAATAACAAGTCGCGTAGTTTATACACATCATGAGTTCATGTTTCACGTTTTCTGAAAGCACTTGACTTTAAGAACAAGCCACCCTCACTCTCCCACTTCAGTCCTCCTAACTACTGGGAATTTCTTATGAAAAGCTGTTGATCAGCAGGGGGAGGAACGCAATCAGTAACTGCAGGGGTGTTCATGCAAGAGTAGAGTGTGTCTTCTCTTGGAGGTTTGTTATCATAGGGACATTCAAGGCTGTGTGAGAGTAGGGTTTGCCCTGAGCCACCATAAAACCATGAATTGGAGCTGAAATTTGAGGTTAAAGTCCAAAGCCTGGATGCAAAATATTTTTAAAAAAGAGAAGTAGAAAAGCAAAACATTCCTTTTTGTCTCCATCATGACTCCCCAGAGCAGTCACGTGGAGGACCTCCCACGTGCAATGGCCTAGCACAGAGGTGCCAAGGGTTTGTATGGGGCTGGTAACGGGCACTACTGCAATACTGAGGAACAACAGTTTGGTTATTCATGTTCCCTGCAGGCACAGAGCCAGGTCTCGGGAGGAAGGGCGTAAAACACGGCGAAGACACTCCCGGCACCATTCAAAGATCACGGCAAAGCAAAATTCCTCTGCAGAGGTTCAGGCCACCCAAAAAGCCAGCCAAACCCTCCCGTTCTACAGCTTCCTGTCTCCTAAGGAAGTAGTAAGTATTACACACTCTGCTTTTTCCCTTGAACTAGCCACAGGAATCTGGGCAAGAAATTTGATATGAAATTTTTATAACTCAATTATAGCGATGTTAGACAAAGTTGGTTAAAGCTGTATTATTTATTAATGGTGCTGTTCTCCAATGTATTTAAAGTCATTCCTTCCTTCAGCACTTTCACACCAAGTGTGGGGCTGGAGAGGGGAAAAATTTGCAAAGGCTTTAGCCTATGAATAATGAATTGAGGACATTTAACAAAAGAAAGTGGCCTCCAGCAATGATATTTTACAGGGAAGTATTTCTTATGCAGTCCTAGCTCAGCTGGATGTGAACTTAATTCACTGGTCTTCATGTCCAAAAGTTTAGTCCTTCAGGGGAAGAAAAGGAATCAAACATATATAAAAGAAACATTTACATTTAATGAGTTGGTGATTATTGACAGGGGATGTTTTCTGACTATCATGATCCTTCTAGGATCACTGTTGCTCTGGACTGACAAGCCCAGGGGCCAAAATCAAAACTTACGAGCAGCTCCCATTGATGTTAATGGGAACTGTATGTGCAGCCAAGGGTAAAAATCAGGCTCAGTGCCTTGGGATGTTTTTCCATATACATGGAAAGAGATGATATATTGTATGCCTTAGAATTGAGGGAGCAAGAGGTGGAGAGAAATATTAGATACAGATTGATAGGAAGTCTTTCTTCTCCATGGCACATTTCCCCTTTGTTCCTGATAGTTGCAAAGCAGAGGTGTGATGCTCTTTGATAGCAGTGTTAGCATCTGATAGGCAGGAAATTGCTACATAGGTCTCAAGGCAGTGCAGAACTTGGTACTTGTGTGTGTGGATGTGTAGTGATAGAGAGCTGTCTTGAGCAAAGAGTCCTCCAAGCCCCAGAGTGGTATGTAATGGGGAACTGATTCTCTCCTTTATGCCCAGTCACCAGTTGGAAATAGCTCAGCCGTACGCAGTAGCTGCATAGGATGTGAGAGAGTGCCAGCAAGAGGAGAGACTTTATCCGCTCACCCGCACAGGCAGCGTTCCAATCAAAATACACAGAGATTATACGTGGGTACAGACAGGCACAAGCTGTCTCTCAACATTATAGATATGCATATTTGCTCTCGTCATGTACATCTCCTGAGTGTGTAGTGCACATGTGAGTCATTGCTTATAAAACCATATAAGGTAGAGCGAATAGCAGAACCTGCGCACCACGCTGAGATGCGTGTGTGTGTGTGTACATGGAAAGGAAGAATAACAAGCTATGAAACCTTTATTGCCATGAGCCTGGGGTGGTGCCCTCTGTCAACTTGGGGAGGTAGAAATGAGTTAAGAGCTCCTCCCAAAAAGCAATCAGCCAAAGACTGCATCATGTCATCAGGGTGGTTTTGGGGGTTTTCTTTTTTGGTTCAAGCTGCGTATTTTACATTAATGTCTTCAAGTCTAAGCCTGGTTTTTAATTGGTACTGGGTTTCCTCTCTCTGAAGCCAGGCTCCCTGGGTCCTGTGAGGCCGACTGCCAGCTGTTCTGTTCCCTGAGCAAGAGTAAACTCTAATTTAAAATTGTAAAAGCTTTAAAACAAGCTAAACTCAAGCATGCTGCACTCCCCTTTCCACTTGCTTCACTCGGGGTAAATGAGCACACAAGCTGCAGGGCAGGGAAAATCAGAGCTTTATGGTGACAGTTGCAAAGTAAAAGTCATCAGGCCCCTGCTGTACTCTTTCTAGTAAGGGTTAATAGCACAGGCAAATATTTCAATGACTGAAAGGCATCAGTACCTTTACTACACAACCCACTAGTGTCCTTTTTGTTGCCCCAAAGAAGTCTTGGGATGTCATTCAAGAGAACATTTAAGCACTTGTTTAAATTGAAGCCCTTGGTTAAGTGCTGCCCCTGAAATTTTTCTGAGTAAGGTCATTAAATACCAGGTACTCAAAACTGGCGAGGGAAAAACGGACTGGGAACTTCTAGTCTCATTTGTTAATGACTATATACAACTCTTTGCCTCCCCTTTCTGTGAGTTAAATGGTTGCTCTATAAATACGCTTAGTTCTGTCAGAATCCACTTTGAGAGCAGCCTGGAAGTGTTATGAAATGAAAATGTGCTCTTGCAGAAAATGTTGATCACTTCTCAGAAATATATTACTGGAAAAGAACAGATTTTTGTGTGAAATTCCAGAATTGGGATGCAGAAATGCCATGTTTCAGTCCTCTGGGGGGGCTGGTGTGGTGCACTCTCTGGCCTGGGCTTCCAAACCATCCTTACCTGGGGAGAAGCTTTGTCATATCTCCAAAGGAAAGGGGTTGTCCAGGGAAGATCCCAATGTGCAAAAGAGATCCAAAGAGGCAACACACAAATTCCCATGAGGTAATGCTATACCATTTCCAAATCAAAGATTTTGCTTTTTAAGTCAATTTTTATTCCGTACTCTTTTTCTTCTGAAAATTGAAGTATTTTTGTGGTAAATTCTGCCATCCCTCCCCACCCCCTGGTTTGTTTTCCTTCCTTTCTACTACATGTCCAGATTTTCTAACTAGGTCTACCTGTAATTTCTGAAGGGTAAACCATGCAAAAGAATGCCCTGCCCGTGCATCTACCTTGCTGCTTCTTTCCCTCTTGCCTTTATGCATTAATTGATGCATGCACACATGCAGAAACACCCCAAAGTTCCCTGCTACTTTACTTTCTGGCAGTGAATTTCCAAGCTGCTCCCTCTCATTCTCCTGTTAATCCCATGCAGCTGCGATAGGCACCTATTGAGAACAGGATTGTGGGTCTGTGCCTCAGCATGCAGAGAAACCACGGGTAATATGCAGCAGCTATTTTTGAACAGAATACCCCTAACCCGCTGCAGACACTTTACTCCACACCGATAAAGATATATTAGATGCCACTGTGCTTTCAGTTGAGCACTGCAATATAAATACCTGCAGGGTATGAATCCAATTGCCTTTGTACCTGATGAAGATAACTGTACGCTGCATACACTTGCCTTGCCAGCTCCTTTACTTCCACTGAAAACTCGTTTATGATGTCACAAATTAACACAGGCTTGAGCCAAACTGTCAGTGAGGCTCAGCGGGGTACGATTGTTCCAAATGACACTGTTTTGTTGTCTTGTGCTTGTGTGTCTGCAGAAATGTAGAAGTGGGGAGATACCATGCAGGGGCTGGGGCTGGCATGTGGGGGAGGGCTGGGGGAGCCTTGTAGCAGACCTGTATCTGCTTGCTGTATCTCTGTTTTCTAGCCTGGGTTTTGATTCACGTTAGGAAAAGCTATTATTTTAATTGCTGGGCATCATGTTTCTGATAACAAACAAGGCCCTGCAGAACAGGAAGGCAAAGCCTTCCATAAATATGGAAGTTGTCCTCTTTTTGCTTTTGTTATTCTTCCCCTCCCAAGCAAAGGGACTCAGATGATCCCAGGTTATTGTCTGGTAAATTCACAGCTCAGTGCTGGGACCACGGGGAGGCCAGAGCCCAGGGGGAGGGAGGGATACCTGCAGCCATGGAGGGCTCTGCTGTACACCAGGTACCAAAGGAGGTGGTGGAAAGCAAACCCTTGCTCCAAAGCAGTGCCAGCCTGGCTAGAGCTGAGCTGGGGACACGCTGGCCTGTGTCCCACGATGCTGGCTGCACCCTAGCAGGCTGAAAAGATCTTTGCGAAGGAATAAAACTTTGTCTGGCTTTCTCAGGAATTCACCCCCAGCAATGGATTTGTGAGCTGCATTGTGGCCATCCAGCCCCAAATAATCCAAGCTCTGACCTTGCAGGGACACTTGTGTCATTACCCCCATGCTCCTGGACTCAGCTTGGCCCTTGTGGTAGAGAAAGCCTCACCCTGAACTCTCCACCTAGGAGAAAAAAAGAAAGGATACTTTCCACTCAATATTTCTTGACTCAGGAATTTTGAATTGTGCAAAAGGAGAAAAGGAAAAAAAAAAAAAAGAAAGGATACTTTTCACTTGATATTTCTTGAGTCAGGAATTTTGAATTGTGCAAAAAGAGGTTTTATTGTATTCCTACAGCCCTGATAATTTTTTTTTTGTACTCCTTTTAGACTATGTTGGCATTTCAGTTAGGGCAAATTATCAGCAGAGGTGAGCCCATTTCCCACAGGTGAAGGCCTCCCCCAGCCCTAGCTCAGGAAGATGGAGGTACCCCAGACCAGACACAGGTTACCCCCAGCAGCCCCTCTCAGCAGATGCTGCTCCCCGTGCTGGCAGCTCCTTGGCAGATGTCTGCCAGGCCCTCATGGAGAGTAAGGCTTGCCGAGGTCACTGACCCAAGTTTTTTTGTTCCTTTCATTATTACAACACACAAAAAAAGAGAGAAAAGGGGACATTATGCACCTCTGAAAAAGAAATTAACTCCACTG